TTATCCTTGCCTCATTGCAAACATGAGGCAGAAATGATCTCCACATATGTTCTTTCAGATGTCCTGAAATGCGCCACAGAGTCTTCTGAAACATGAACTCTTTGCCGTACCGAAATGTAGCCATATTGAGTCATTTCAGGTTCATTTCAGGCTACACAAAATTTATCATTTTCTTGCACCACAAATGGCCATGAAAGTGGTAGCAAATCTATCATTTTAGGACACCAGAAAGCCCCGGTTAAGTCTCCGAAAATGAAACATTTTTGATGGCTTGACCGGGACATTTCAGGTGATCTGAAACCAGCTCATGCCTGTAGTGTCCAGGCCTTTTCCTTAGCATGCAAGTACAACCTGGGCAGCGACCTAGTGGAACTAGCTGCGAAAGCAAGCCTCTTGCAACCGAGCCCGCTCCAGCAGCCCGGGCCACTACCCCCAGAAGTGGGAGGGCTGCCAGCTAGCGCGTACCATAGCCTGCTGGTGTACCGCCAGAAGTGCATCAACATCCTGCAGCCGCTGCTTACAGTCTGGCCGCACCACGATATCACCCTCCCAAAGCCAGTATGGCACACCTGCATCTGCCGTCTGAAGGCGGCCGCCAACACAGACGCTACATTGCCGGAATGGTATGCGAACCACGTAGAGCGCACCTTGACGGCGTTCTCGAAAGCCGTTGACCCATCAACGGTGAGGTCGCCGTTTCTAATCGCTACCGCGCTGCAACAGCTCTCGTCTGCAATGACTGCTGCGACACTGGCTGCGAAAGGAAAGGTGAGATCCTCGTCGAACTGTGTTTGTGCCGAGACGGCGCCGTACGAACTGGTCAAGTTCCATGCGGTCGTTGCAAGCGAAGTTGAACGTCAGTTAGATCGGGTTTGTAACATCGTTTGCCGGACAAGCATGCAGTTGACATTTTCATAGATGAAGTTTCAGATGCTTGCGTCACGGTAATACAAGCTGACGGACGACAAGTAGATCGTGCAGTAAGTCCGAATCTGGTTCATTGTGGCTGTAGTGTGTGTGCATCAGTACGGATCTATGTGTGTATGTGTCGCCCTGCGATAGGACAAACTAAAGTGATTAAGCCTCAGACCCATCTCATGTCCCGCTGCTCATCTCCAACAGCGCCTCAATACTTCTCCCAAGATCACCTCCGTTGGCCTCAAGCACAAGTTCCATGACCTCCACGTCCATCGTCGGGAAAATCTGCTTCAACGTCTCGCGTGATGCATTTGTCGCATTCTCATGGACGCGGTCGATCTCCGCCTGCACACCCGCGAGGTCAAGGCTCGGAGACGGTGCACGCGATATATGTGGCGTCCGCTGCGGCGTTCGCGAGGGCGTCTGGAGTTCCGGTACGAGCAATTGCATCCGCGGAGCCTGTGCACGCGGCTGTTGCGACGGTCCTATCGCGAGCGGCCGGTTTGTCGGCGGTGGCGGGGGTCGCGGTCGTGATGATGTCTCGTCTGGCATGCCATCCCAATCGTGCGGGGCTTGCGGAACAGCAGGCGAAGGAACCCGTCGTACGCGGGGCTTGTATGGTGCTCGTTGTTGCGCAGCGTGCTGAGCATCCGACCCGGGCGTTTGTGGGCGTGAGCTCGAAGGCGAGTCCGACTCCTTAGCGAAGTCGAGTGGAGCCAATGATGCAAGCGACTCCTCAGCTTCAGCTAGTAAGCGTCCGATAGCAGAGAGCGGCTTGGATATTGTGTCGCTCGTCTTCTGGAATAGACGTCGGGCATCTTCGCTGAATGCTTGCGTTGGTACGGGCAGTGACAAAGGTTGTGCAGACTCTTCGCCTGTATGGGACGATGGCGGGGGCAAAGCACTAGAAGCGCCAGGAGAATTAGGACCTTCTACCACTGGAGTGCCGGGCGAAGGTGTTGGAGGCGACGTTCGCGGCAGGCTTTGGATTGCCTCCTCAACATTTCTGAATGAACACGTAAGGAGCCGCAAACACGGTTTCACTGAAGATCATACCTCTCAAACTCCTCTTGAGTAATATTAGACAACGACGTATGATCCATTGTCTCGATGAAAGATACCGCACCCATCTGCGAGCAAACTATCAGAACCACAAGCTTCGATTCAAGTCGCTGAACACGCACCAGGCTGGACAGGTAATATCCGGCTTCACTTTGAAGCTTTGTAGGATTGCGGAACCGGTTGATGAACCTGGGAAGAAGGTCAACTTGAACTCCAAAATCACTAGAATCATGAAGCACGCACTCGACGTTCGAAAGCAAATGATCCGGATTCGCTTTGAGCACGACGCAGATCAAGATCGGGATAAAGCTATCCGCGCCCTCTTCCTTGTGCATATGCCTGATTAGACCTGTAGACATGACAGGCGGAGACGACCTGTGCGTCAGTTCGAGCCGGCAAGTTATACGTGCGATGGCGGACCAAATATGACCTTGCAGGAGTTCAGAATACAGATAAGTTTATCCCGCGGCGCTTTGTAGTGGTTGATCTTCAACAGTTCTGTATAGTGCATTAATTAGTACAAACCGCTGAAGTCTCGATCGGCGGACTGACCTTGCTGGGCGAACATGAGGAAACCTTCAAAGCCAGGTCCTTCCGGGATGTCAAGGTGATGTGGTTCTACCCATCCGAACAGCGCTATCCGCTGCGAGAGTACACGATCGCGTTCAAGGTCGTCCGAGGTTATTGGCCGAGGAGGGATCATCCGCGCTACTTGTGGCGTGAATGTGCTGCGTAATCGTTACAATATGCTCAATAGAGGACCGCATATATGCGATGCTTACTAGTCATATAAGCGGTTCATAACGAGCTTCTCCATGCCCTCCATCGCATTGTCAAACTCTGCTTCCGAAACGTTGCGCCAAACGTCTGCCTCCCGCATCTTGCCCGAGATGAACTACTTCCTCATAGTCAGCTCAGCCTCTGGTCCTAAT